TCATCATCATCATCATCATCATCATCATCATCATCATCGTCATCATCATCATCATCATCATCAGCATCATCATCATCATCATCCTTGTCCTCCTCCTCCTGCTCCTTGTCCTCCTCCTCCTCCTTCTCCTCCTCCTCCCCCCTCCCTTCCTCCGTCCCTCCCTCCCTCCCTCCCTCCACCTCCTCATCCTCCTCCTCCTCCCTCCTCCTCCTCCCTCCTCCTTCTCCTCCTGCTCCTTGTCCTCCTTGTCCTCCTCCTCCTCCTTGTCCTCCTCCCCCCTGTTCACCCTCATCCCTCTGAATCTCCTCCCCTTTGGTGCCTTCTGCCTTGGGCCCTCTCCTCCTCCTCCTCCTGCTCCTTGTCCTCCTTGTCCTCCTCCTCCTCCTCCTCCTCCCGAGGAGGAGGAGGAGGAGGAGGAGGAGGAGGAGGAGGAGGAGGAGGAGACGCGAGGACATCAGCAAGGAGCACCCGGAGGAGAGGACCCGGCAGGCGGAGGTAGGGAAGGCCCGAGAGCCCCTGATCCTCCCTGCTGCCCCCGCTGTACCATCTCCCAGGACGAGGCCAGGGCGAGGATACCTTCGGGCGAGGATGAATTCGGAAATCTCTGAGATCAGGCGGCTCTGGAGGAGGGCTCGGGCGCCGCGGCCTCCTCAGAACGTTATGGAACGCTCTGGGGGCTTTCTGGAACGCCCTGAAGAGGATTTATCCTTGTGTTACAATCCCCATCGAAATCAAACGCAAGTTTTTATCCTACTCCTCGTCCCCAAATTTCAATGCTGATGAACGCGCGCAGCGCGGCCCGTGGGTCAACAAAAAGATGGCGGTCACCAGCATCGGCGTCAACAAATTTATATTTGGGGCCCAGGGGCGCCGCCATGCCGCGGGAAAATCTTGCGTTTGACTTCGAGGAGGGTTGTTCGCGCGCTAACATGGATTACAAATACGTGGATCTGGCGCGTGAGTGCCAAATCCGTGGATCGGGGAACGTATCCCCTGCACCTGGCGCCAATGCCGCCTCACTTGGCCACGCGGCGCGCCGATAAAGTACGGAAGCGGGACCTGTCGCTAATCCACGTGCCCTACAATCGCCGAAGTCGACACTTCTTGGGCGGCGGACTGCTGGCACCCTGAAGGGCTGGCCGATGAGAACCGCGAAGGACGAGACGCAGAGGCTACGACGCAAGGGTACCCTAAGGACAGCCATGCGTCCATATTCTGAGTTTTGACTGTGCTCCATGTTTTCGTTTCCCCGAGTTGTAGCCCCATCCGATCTCCCCCCCGAACGTGCCCCACGCCCCAACTCCCCCCCCCCCGACAGCGATGAGAGGCCCAGCAACAGCAACACCAGCAACAACAGCGCGTCGCGCGCGCGCCCGCACCAGGGCAGCCGCCCGGAGGGTGGCCCGTCCTGGCGGAGCACCTCGCAGCTGCGAGGAGGAGGCTTCTCCTCCTCCTCCCTCCATTCCTTCTCCTCATAGATAACTCCTCCCTGTCGCACCCCGAGGCCAGTTTTTAGGGCGGGCCGGGCGTTTCGCCTGAGACTTCCCCACCACTTATGACTCTGAAGGTTATTTATCCCAGTGCGACCCTACCTAGGAGTTGGAGCATTTAGGAAAGCAGCATCTACATCTACACCGACAGCTACATGTACATCTACACATGCATATACATCTACATCAACATCATCAGCGAGACTCACATCTACATCTACATCTACACCTACATCTACACCTACATCTACGTCTACATCTACATCTACATCTACACCTACATCCACATCTACACCTACACCTACATCTACATCGACACTTTCGCATTGGTTTTGCTTTTGCTTTGCATTGCCTTTGTTTTTGCTCTTGCCTTTGCTTTGCCTTTGCCTTTGCCTTTGCTGTTGCTTTTGCTGTTGCTTTTGTTTTGATGTTGTTGTTGCTGTTGCTTGATTATGTGTTTGCTTTGCCTGCGCACAGACACACACCCACACAAACGCAAGCTAAGCTAAGCTACGCTAAGTTAAACTAAGCTAAGCTAGGCTAGGCAAAGCTAAGCTAAGCTAAGCTAAGATGAAATAAGCTAAACTAAGCTAAGCTAAGCTAAGCTAAGCCAAGCTTAGCTAATCTGGGTGAACCCAGGGGACGTAACTGGGGGAACCGCGGGGCGGATCCTGGGGGAACCGCCCGGGGCGTGTTACACTGCCCGGCCCCTATAAGCACAGAGGGTAAGAACCCTTGTAGGCAGAGCCTAGGTAGGGAACAGCAACTTCACAGATGGAGGGCGGGTGGTTTTCAAAATGTGGTTCTCGCCTCAGCGCCGCGCGCCTTCGTTTTAAACATTGGCCAGAGTTTCACGTATTGAGGGCGGGTGATTGCCAAAATGTGGCTCTCGCCCTCTCGCCTTAGCGCCGCGCACACACTCGCTTTGAGCATTTACAAGAGCTTCACGGATTGAGGGCGGGTGGTTTTCAAAATGTGGCTCTCGCCTCAGCGCCGCGCACCTTTTTTTCTTCTTTATTTATTGATTTATATATATATATATATATATAATGCAAGGGTGTCACGGATTGAGGGCGGTTCTTTTTCTTTTAAGCATGTGGCTCTCGCCTTATCGCCGCGCACATTCGTTTTTAACACTTGCAAAAGTTTCACGGATTGAGGGCGGCCCCTGGCTTGTTGAACATGTGGCTCTCGCCTTAGCGCCGCGCACACTCGATTTTTATGTGCAAGAGTTTCACGGATTCCCGTGATCAGCGTACCAGAAATGGTGTTTTGAAAGGATTCAGGATAATGCGGGCGCAACACTTAGGTGGGTTCGTTGTGCTGACGTCCCAAACATGACGTTCTGGCAAGGTTCGGGATCGTCAAGACGCAGCAGTCAGGTTGACGCGTGGCGTTGGCATCCCGAGAACAATGTTTTGGCACGCTTCAGGATCTTCTAACTGTTGTCTTCCAACGAGGCAGTCCCCTCAATGAAAACGAACCCTTGTAGAGGCCTAAGAAGAGGGAGCTTGGAGGGAGGGTTAATTCCAGCATCGTTGATGACTCTTGGGTTTCCACTGGTCGTCCTCCTCCTCCTCCTGCTCCTCCTCCTCCTCCTCCTACCACTTCCTCCTCCTCCTCCTCCTCCTCCTCCTCGTCTTCCTCCTCCCCCTCCTCCCCCCCCCCCCTCCCCCTCCTCCCCGTCCTCCTCCTCCTCCTCCTCCTCCTCCTTTTCCTCCTCTTTTTCCTCCTTCCTTTCCTCCTCCTTTTCCTTTTCCTTTTCCTCCTCCTCCTCCCCCTCCTCCTCATCCCACTTCCTCCCCTCCTCCTCCTCCTCTTCCTCCTCCTCCTCCTCCTCCTCCTCTCCTCCTCCTCCTCCTCCTCCTCATCGTCCTCCTCCTCCTCCTTCTCCTCCTCCTCCTCCTCCTCCCTCCTCCTCCTCCGCCTCCCTCCGCTCCTCCTCCCTCCTCCTCCTCCTCCTCCTCCTTCCCCTCCTCTCCTCCTCCTCCTCCTCCTCCTCCTCCTCCTCCTCCTCCTCCTCCTCCTCCTCCTCCTTTTCTCAGCCGTCTCGCTCAAGGTGGGCAGGAGGTGCGCGTCCGGCCGGCCCCCCCGAGTTGGGCCGCCAAAATTCGAGATGGCATTGGCGTCCCGAGCCGCAGCGAGGCAATGCTGACACCATCCCATGGGTGGAAGCTGGAGCCGGGGGCGACCCGTACCGTGGACGCGCGAGGGGCCCGGGCTGTGCAGTCCCGAGCGCGGAGGCAGGCGCCCCAGTGAGAGAGAGCCCGCAGCTGCTGATGTGCGGAAGGTGTCAGCCAGCGACGTCACGCCGACGAGGTTGCAGGTGCCAACGGTGGTGAGAGGCCAATGCTGTAGCCACCACCGGCGGAAGGATGCGAGGACCCTTGAGGTCCAAGGCGGTGCAGGCGCAAAGCTCGACTACAGGGTCGACGGCAGCATGCACGTGAAGATGTAGCGTTTTTTGGCCAGCCTGGGCCCAGGCCCCACGGGGCAAGAAAGGCACATGCCGCTGTCCTTCGCGCTCTACGTTTCAATTCAAAGTGTTGGTGGGTGCTTATTCTACACACTTTTATTCACTTTGTTGAACCTTCCATTGTAGTTTCGTCTTATCGTAAGTTCAGTGGTTGGATTGTTCTCGCAACGTGTGGCTCGGTATGATTGCCACGTGTTGCCATCCAGCTGTCTCCTCTCAATCAATGTTGCGAGTATGAGTGTCTCCAGTTGACTTACCATCGTACGTTTGTTGTGTATTCAAGTGGGTGGATTTTGTTTTCGTGGCAGGCTACGCGCACATTGCATATGTCTTTCGTGTCTGGTCGTGCCGCCGAACGTCGAGGATGGGGCATGATAGTGGCTACTCTCACTGTGCAACCGTGTTCCCACACAGCTGTCGCAGCGGTGGTGTCGCATGTCTTGTCTCGTGTATGTCTTCTTTCCACACAGTTGCCTCCACGTAGCAATACATGTTGCAGCAGGCGTGCCGTCCATCGTTGTGCCTTCCATCAACGTGGGATCTAAGCAGCATAATCCAGCATAGTCCTCCTCCTCCTACCCCTCCTCCTCCTCCTCTTCTTCTGTTTCTTCTTCTTCTTCCTCCTCCTCCTCCTCCCGTTTCCTCCTCCTCCTCCTCATCCCTCCTCCCCCTCCTCCTCCTCCTCCTCCTCCTCCTCCTCCTCCTCCTCCTCCTCCATTCCCTTTCCTTATAAAGAATTTCTCCCTGTCGCACCCCGAAGCCAGTTTCTAGGACGGGCCAGGCGTTTCGCCTGAGACTTCCTCACCATTTATGACTCTGAAGCTTAAAATATAACAACAGCTTCACAGGAGGGCGGGTCGTTTTCAAAATTGGCTCTCCCCAGCAAGGGGAGAGGAGAAGAGGAAACATGTACAAGACCCTCCTCATTCTTCTTCTTCCTCCTCGTCCTCCTCCTGCCCCCTCCTTCTCCCTCCCCCTGCTCCTGCTGTCCCTCGCCCTCGCCTCGCCTCCCGCGCCCCGACCCCGGCGGCGGCAGTGCAACCTCGGCGCACCACGCCCCGCCGGCGTGCCGCAGAGCCAGGTGGCTGGCCTTCTCGCGCGGCGTTCGGCCAGCACCAGCGGGGGGGAGGAGGGGGATGGCAGAGGGAGGAAGAGGAGAGGGAGGAGGAGGAGGAGGAGGAGGAGGAGGAGGAGGAGGAGGAGGACAATGGAGGAGGAGGAGGAGCGAACGAACCCCTGGGAGAGGCGCGTCGATCTATAATGGGCGCGCACCGCCGTGCGCGCTCGGGCCCAGCCTCAGGGCGAGGCGCGAGGCCTGCATGTAGTTCTTGTGGGTGATGTAGGAGTTGTCGACGTTGTTGTCGATCTTGATCGAGTGGTAAAACCTGTAGACCACGGCAAGACGGACGAGCACGTGGTCAATCTTGTCGTCGTCGGCCCCGTGCGGGTCGAAGTTGATGTCGTGCAGGCCAAGCCTGGCGAGTGCACATTTGTGAAGTCGTCCACTAGGCAGTGCAGCATGGTGCCACAAGCGCTTGCAGACCAGGTAGTGGCTGAAGGCGTCGGGGTGAAGCTTTGGGTTGCAGCCAAGAACACAACCACGAAGGACAGGCTGAACATGCATACGGTAAGACGTGGCCCAACCGCCCGATAGCGTCTTCATCACAGGCCAGAAGCGCGAAGGCGGCAACTCGGCGATCTTCGGGCGGATGCGGTTCCACGCGGTCTTCACGTTGTACGGTAACTGGATGAGGGAGGTCATGTCGTTGTCGTCCGCGTACGCGTTGGTGAGGTCGTCGGTGATCAAGGGAGTGGAGTCCGAGTCATTGTTCTGGAAGTCGGCGTCGTGGATCCAGCGGCGCCGAGCATGGTGTTCATTAGCTGCTCGTTCGAACCTCTGCTGTAGTTCGGCGGTGCGGGGGGGATTGAACGCAGCGGAGGTCTGAAGTCTGGATGCCGCAGTTGATTGCCATGCCTGCGTGCAAATACGTTCGGCACGCCGACGGAGCTGAGCATCTGTTTGGCCACGGAAGAGGACTTGAAGACCGCCACGACGGAGATGACGAAGAATAAAGGTTTCGCACCATTCATGCCAATCGTCGACGTCCCATTCATGTAGTGGTTGAGCGAGGTAAATCGAGGGGAGCCAGTCGGAGGCCCAGTGCTGCAGGCATTCAGCGATGTTCTCGAGCTCGTTGGCTGCGTTGCGCATGTCGTGGTCATCATCATCTGGCGTGTTGGGAACTTGAAGATGAAGTGGTGGAAATCGTTGGAGGCGTCCTGCGTCGGCGCTGGCAGCAGACGGCGCCGACGGGAGGGTGGGGAACCAGGCCCGAAGGCGGGCGGCGATGGTGGCGTCGAAGGAATATTCGTAGAGCGCGCGCTGCAGCGTGATCATGTAAGTGGTCTGCGGTGGTTTCTTTGGAGGATCATCATCTGCACGGCGAAGTTTGCCCATGACACGAAGAGCAGCAGCACGGGCGAGTTCATGGGCTTGGCGTAGCTGACGGTGAGCCAGATGATCGTGACGGCGGCTGCGCTTGATGATCTTGAAGATGGTGCCCTTGTGGGTGGAGTAGTTGTCGCCAAACTTGGCCGCCCGCAGGCGTTGCGCGATCGAAGTGGCGGAGGCCCAGCACGGCGCGGTCCAAAGTCCCTGGACAACTCGGACGAGTGGAATCTGATCGAGTGCAGCAAGATGGTGAAATTCGAGAAGCTGGGGCGAGGCATTGATGGTGGAAGTAGCAGAGCGCCACAGCGTGGCAGCAAGCAGGACTTCGACACCAATGGGGATGGCGCAGCCCGCCCAGTTCGTCATGCCGAGGATGTCGAGCTTGGTGAATGCTGAAGGAGCAGATCTGATAACTTTATGAAGGACATGAATTTCTTTGGAAAGAACGAGTTCTGGAGCAGGAAATAGTTGTCCAACGTAGGTGAGGCAAGTGATCGCGGACGAGTTGTACAGCGAAACGTTCAGCTGGATGGCCGCGGAGGCGTCGCCCAATATCTGGGTACGATGGTACCACTTGGCCGCGGGGGCGGCCCATTGAGCACGATCATCAGCACAGGGGCCGATGTAGACTCCGAGGTACTTGGCCTTGCCGTCGATCTTGAACTGGGACCAGGCGGGGTTGATCGTCCTGGGCGTGTCGCGCATGGTGTCGTCAACGTCTTCGAAGCAGTTGGTCCATACTGGGACGAGCACGCACTTCCGAGGTTGGAGCAGCAGTCCTGCGAAGGATTGGGCCGCCTCGGTATGCGGCAGGATGCCTTGCATGTCACGCAAGTGTGCTAAGACGCAACCAATGTCATCGGCACAAGCACTGGCCATGCCACGGCCAATCTGATGAAAGTGGCGTTGAATTCCATGTAGGATGGGGTCGAACACCAGGGCCCAGATGGTGCCACTGAGCGGGCAGCCCTGGGCTACTCCGCTGGATGCAACGAGCAATGGTCGACGTGTGCCTCCCAGCTCGAGGAAGGCGATGGGCGAGGCGTAGAAGGACTGGAGGAGGCGACGGACGCGGCCAACAATCCCCCATCTGCGAATCACTTCCCATAACCAAGCGTGAAGCAAGCTTGGGAAGGCGGCTGCGATGTCCATGCTGAGGAAGCACGGCATGTGCTCGGTGGCGTTGTCCATGGTGCTGCAGATGCGGCTGTACGCGTCAGCTTCGATTACGTTGTTGAGGAATTGGCGGCCAGGTACGAAGCCTCGCTGGATACTCGACACTTGCTTGACTATCGGATGTAGCTTGCGGTTGATGGCGGAGGCAGCAATTTTTACGTCAGTGTTCTTCATCGCGGGAGGGCGGAGTTGGTCTGGCGACCGAAAGCATTCAGCATGACCAGCAGGCGCATCACCTTTTGGTAGCATGGCTAGTAGAGCGTGGTTCCAATCGTGCGGGATGATGTTGTTGGCCGAGATGTTAGCCACGAGCTCTCCCAGGATCTCGAAGCTGTTGGGAGTGGAGGTCCAAGCTTTGTAAGGAAGGCCGTCTGGACCTGCGGCGGAGTCATGTGCTCGTTTTGCTGCTTCTTGAAGCTCTTCAGCGCTGGGGAGTTCCAGCGCGACAAGGTCACGCTGGGGGAAGACGGAGTCCAGGTAGGCGATCATGTTGGCAGTGGTTACTGGCTTGTCTGCGAAGATCGGGCCCCAGTGCGCTAGTATGGCGTCGTGCATGTCCGATGGCGTCTTGGCGATGATGGATGGGTCGCCCTGCGAGATTCGGATGCCAGCGAGCACCAGACGCTTGGAGAATGGCTTCCAGAGCTCTCCCCGTCTGCGTGTAGCACTGGCCCGTTTCCGCCACCTGTCTCCTTGTTGACGCTGTAGACGTTGGCAAGCATCACGGGCACGTGCGGCGGCGAGGGCGCGACGTTCTTCAGCGACAGCAGCATGAACTTCAGCAGCGGCATCGGCGAAGGCGTTGGCGTTGCTAAGTCAAACCTTGCTTGAGGGGATGTCGGTAGCGTTGTCCGTGATGATATGTAGGTGCTTGGAGCCCAGATGGGTGGTGTCGATGAGGAGGCGCGCCAGATTGATGTCCTGGAACCAGACCGCGCGGGAGATGCTTCTCATGGTCATCGGGTTGACTTCCTTGGAGATCGATAGGTGGTCGCGTGCAAGGACTTCAGGCGGTAGCCGCGCAAGAGCATCTCGCGTGGCTGTCGCGGCGTTCGTCATGTTGGCTTTCAGCGCGTGCCACTTGATGATGGGCGTGAGCGAGTCGTATTCGGTGTCGGCGGAGAGCTTGTCGATGAAGAACTTGTCGAAATCGGAGTTGAAGAGGTAGGCGGGGACGCCTCGTTCAGAATGGGGCCGCTGAGCTCGGGGGCGAAATCGGACATGAAGGAGTTTATGGTCACTGGCAGGGATCCCTTTTCGTTCGAGTGGCGAGTCGTCGGCCACCATGATCGTCTCAATGTGGGTGAGATTATGTGCTTGGAAGGAAGTGAAGAAGCGGTCAATACTTGACTCAGTGTTGTTCGCGTAGCAGCGGTGGGTGGTGGACGGCGTGCAGATCTCGACCAGCGGTCGGAAGAGCTGCTTCCAGTAGGTGGGCTGGAACTGGTATCGTTCGTGCGCAGGCACTTCGACAGGACGTAGTAGACTGCGGGCAGGTAGTTCAGAGATATTGAAATCGCCGAGCATGAATAACATAACGTGTTCAGGGTCGCTGCTTGCTTCGTTTAGTGCCACTTGCCACGTGGCCTTGATCCGTCTTCGATCGTCAGCAGTGAGATCGTGGTTACGAATGTTAAGGTAGATATGGAGGTACTTCAGGCTGGGGTCGCGGATTCGCAGTTCGGCGACTCGGCCAGGGATGACCGCGGAGAAGTTGATCATCGGCTTGGCGTTGTCCTGGTCGCCGAAGGGGATGAACTTTGGGATGAGGAAGGCGACCCCGCCCGCAGCATTGGAGTCGGGGATGTCGCTGTGGTAGACGTCGTACTTGGCGCCTGTGGAGTTGATGAGGCTGTGAACCATCTGCGAGGTGCCGTGAGTCTCCTGAATGGCAATGAGGGAACGCTTGGCGAGGTAGGGCTTGGGGACGGAGAGTTTGGCGTCGCGCTTGACGATGTTCGAGTGCACCAGTGCCTGAGCGTTCCAGCTGACCACCGAGCATTCAGTCAAAGATGACGTGGTAGTCGCGCTCCATGGGGTCCATTTGCTGTTAAATCCACGACACTGATGTGGTTGCATCCGCGAAGGCAGCGGCAAGGGCGTCGGAGCACGAAGATCGCATCGCAGATGTATGGCCGACACCTTCAGCAGCGTCAGACCATTGAATCTTGGTCGCCATCTCAGGGCGGGCGCCCACTTGGATGCGGACGATGGGCACATTGTCGATGGAGAGGTAGCCGTCGGTACGGTGGATCTTGGGGTTGAGGTCCTGCTTGGCGTTGTTGATGATCCTTGCCAGCTTCTTGAGCTGGATCTCCTGCCTGACGAGCTTGGGGCTCTTGTCTGCGCTGACGTAGCATGGAGCGCCGCCGATCGTGAAAGTACGCCATTCTCGACCAATGCGGAGGTGATGGTGGAGAGCTTGAGCACGTGGTACGGCAACGGCATCGGCTCCGAGTACAGTGATGGAGACCCGCTTGGCAGGAGCGGAGTTGTTGTAACGAACTATAGACACGTCGATATTGGCTACCGAAAACCACTCGGTGATGGCCGACTTGAGAGAAGCTTGTGTGATGTCCACAGTGGAGGCGATCCAGAAGGTGCCGATGTGTGGGGCCCTGTCCCGCGAGCCAATATTGCTGACGTCGAGCGAAGGAACTTGGGCTTCAGCCTGTGCGATGGCAGTTTGGATCTTGTCCACCGCGTCGTTGAGGTCCTTGGACTCCACTTCGGAGGCGGAGACGCGCTGCTTGAGGGAGACGATGTCGTTCTCGACGTGGTCTTGGCGCTCGGTGAGCTTGGCCGTGATGTTGGTGATGTGCGTGATGAAGCTGGCTTGAGACGAGGCGGCAACTTTCTCTGCGGTGGCCTTGAACTGTTCGGCTGCACCAGCGACTTGAATGGCCAGGTGCTTCTCGATCTCGGAGCGGAATAGTTCGAGTCTTTCCTTTTGTGCAGCGTCTTGCCATGGGTCTTTGTTGCTCCGAGGACTTCGTTCGCGTCGATCACGTATGGTGGCAAGGTCGCACGTCTCAGGCATGTTGAGAGCTCACCGCAGACCGCTGGGTCTGGATTCTCGACCTTCGATTTGGAGGTGGCCGCGGCACCACAGGCAAACAATCCCGCGTGAATATGTAAGGAGAGCAGAAAAAAACACTCCTGAGCTGGCCCTGGAACAAGGGTATGCCATGAACGCCTCTTGGCGCTATGCCAAACAACATTGGGACCTTGAGCCAAAATGGCTACGGAATGGAGGAGGAGGAGGAGGAGGAGGAGGAGGAGGAGGCGAGAAGAGAGGAGGAGGAGGAGGAGGAGGAGGAGGAGGAGGAGAGGAGGAGGAGCGAGGAGGACGAGGACTGCGGTCGACGATTTCTCTAGCAACCAGGAACAGGAACAGGAAGAGCAGGAGGAGGAGGAGGAGGAGAAGGAGGAGGAGGAGGTGAAGGAGGAGGAGGAGCTCAACCAGGCCCGGGACGAGGCGACGATCGAGGCAGGTCAGATTGTCACGCTTCGCTTCCATGGTTGCAGTGCCAAGGTCCAGCGATTGGCCCTACACTTAAGACGCCGAGAGCTTCCATCAAGAAACCAACACTTGCACCCCAGGCGGCCCCCCCACCACCCCAGCCATTGATTTGGAACCCTGTCAGGTTGCCTGTGGGATCGTCGATTTTCGTAATACACTGGAATCACGCGCGCGCTTCGCGCGCCTAGGTTCTAGCAAGCCCAAAGCCGTGACAAGTTCACAGGCCCTCTGAAATGCTTACCCATCTATGGCATGAATATCAGGCACACCGAAGCGTCAAAAGAACGAGAGCCGAACAATGCCAAGCAGTGATTTTCATGTTCAGAATGGAGTGCCCACACTGGCACTGCAATGAAGCCCAGTGCCATGGAAACCATATGCGAGCGCCATGCAGCGAGAAGCAAAGCAAATGAAAGGCCAGGCAGCGCGATGCAATACAAGTAAATGCAAAGCAGAACAATGCTCGCCAGCGCAATGCGAGAGCGCCCCCTGAGAGACCCCAAGAAGCATCCCTGAGGACCCTGAACCCACAATCCAGGCACGGTGGCGGGATAGGCCGAAGGCCATTGGATGCAATTGTGAACTTCTTGTCGCGTCTCGAGCGATAGGTCCGATCGGAAAAGGAGCCGCCCTCCTTCTCTTGGCGGCGCGCGCAAAGGGGGTGTGGGGGAGGGGGCAAGGCTTCTTAGAAGGAGGCTGGTTCTTAGAAGGCGCGGGCCTTACATCTACAGACAAGGCCCGCGGGGGAGGCTTCTAAGAAGCAGGGGTGCTTCTAAGAAGCACTCCCCCCTCCACAATTACACAACACGAATACTACTCTCCTCTCCCCTGACGACGTCCCGAAGATATCCGGCCCCCCTCCGCGTACTGTTTTTCACACAAGATTCCCGGGTACTGGGCTTTCGCTGGGGTTTTTGTCAAAATGGTGCTCCCGCTGAAGCAATGGCCTCTTTATCGGGCTTCCGCTCATTCCGAAACCTGCTCCCGCTGCAGCGCTGGCTTCATTCTGCGGTTGCGCTCGTTCCAAATCGTGCTCTCGCTGCAGCGTTGGCCTCATTCTGCGCCTCCGCTCGTTCTGAGCCGTGCTCCCGATGCAGCGCTGGCGTCATCATTTCCAGTGCCATGTCACGGCATGCACTACAATGCTATGCAGTGTTCCGCTGTGCGATGCCATGCCCAAAAATCTAGAAAATGCCCCCCCCCCAAAAAATAATAATATCGGAAGTAATTGGACATTCGGTGTCGATTCGTCGAAGTTCTGGCAGGCGGAAGCCCCACTTTGGGGCGTCATCGTTTTCAAGAAGTATTAAGCAGGAGCCCCGTTTCTTCTTTGAGAAGGCGATGTTGAAAGCAGAGCCAGCGGGTGCTCTCCATCAGCCCCGCCCTGTGTGGATCTTTTCGGGGAGCCTAAGGAGCTAGACATGGAGCCACGACTCCAGACCGGCCCAAACCTCTCGAAGACGATTCACATACCCTCCAAGGAACCCGGTGCCATGCCATGACATGCTGTTCGTTTTTTTTCCCCCCCCCCCTACCTAGGCTCTGCCTAGAAAGGTTCTTACTCGGTATGCTTAAAGGGCCGGGCAGTGCAACTCGCCCCGGGCGGCTCCCCCAGTATCCGCCCCGCGGTTCCCCCAGGTACGTCCCCTTAGCTTAGCGTTGCTTATACCATCTTAGCTTAGCTTATTCCCTACCTAGGCTCTGCCTAGAAGGGTTCTTACTCTCTGGGCTCAAAGGGCCGGGCAGTGTAAATCGCCCCGGGCGGTTCCCCCAGTATCCGCCCCGCGGTTCCCCCAGTTACGTCCCCTTAGCTTAGCGTTGCTTATCTCATCTTAGCTTGGCTTATTTCATCTTAGCTTAGCTTAGCTTCATCTTAACTCAGGTTTATATTAGCTTAGCTTACCTTCATCTTAGCTTCGCTGAGCTTTAGCATAGTAGAACACAGCATAGCATAGCATAGTGTTGCATAACATAGCGCAGCACAGCATATCATAGCATAGCCCAGCATAGCATAGCATAGCGCAGCATAGCATACCATAGCATAGCATAGCGCAGCACAGCACAGCATAGCACAGCGCAGCATAGCACAGCATAGCATAGCATAGTATAGCATCGCGCAACTTAGCATAGCATGGCGTAGCATAGCTTAGCATAGCACAGCGCAGCATGGCATAGCATGGCATGGCATGGCATAGCATAGCATATAGCATAGCATCGCGCAGCTTAGCATAGCATGGCGTAGCATAGCTTAGCACAGCGCAGCATGGCATAGCATAGCATAGCATAGCTTAGCATAGCATAGCATAGCGCAGCATAGCATAGCATAGCATAGCATAGCATAGCATAGCATAGCGCAGCATAGCATGGCATAAAATAGCATAGCATAGCAACTAATGCTGCTTCCCTAGGGGCTCCAACTTCTAGGTAGGGTCGCCCTGGAGTATTTTGTTTCTTCCGTGAAGGCAGCTATAACCGTTCACGGTCTTCGGCCTCTCTCCACTTCTCCACTGCCGGCCGGGTTGACAGCGGAGCTACACCGGGGCTCCAAACCCTGCACTCTACAAGCGCGAGCATGATGGGGCGTCATCGGCGCAGCAAGTGCACAACTCCCTGAACTTAAGCAAAAACTATGTACATACACGAGAAGCCCACATGCCTGCCAGGACCCTGCGTGTTCAGTCCCACGCTTCAAAGGCACAAGCAAGTAGGCTGAGTGGAGCTACATCTGTAAGCAGCTCATGAGTGCTACCATTGCACCTCGACGTCACACCTAGCTGCCGCAATGGATCACACTATGACTGCGACGCTGGGAGAGATCGTGTCGGGCGCCTCCTTCTTGGTATACACATGTGTCTTTTCAGGGTACGCCTTCTTCAGAATCGCGCCTGCACTTTCCTTAGAAGTGGTGTTGGTGGTGATGGCCTTCTTGGTAATGGCTGTCAGAGCCAAGAAGCAATCTCGTCCGCAAGCCCCGGCACTGCAAAAGCAACACTGTGGGCGATCAACACAATCGGCGCATCCAGGGCCGGTGTGAGACGCAACTGGTCCCATGAAGGAGTCAGGGTTCGTACCATTCTGGCCTTCACCGATGCAGTTGCAACTCGAACCTCCGTCGAAGATGCAGCTATACCCTCCTGGGCAACCCCCCACCGCACATGGATCCTCCTGACCAGGAGCAGCTGAAGGCTGCCGGAACCATTGTGGAGACGACGGCGAGGATGGCACGCATCAGTCCCAAGTCGCGGAAAACCTCAAAGGTGCGACAATAGCTGCAGGGATGGCAAATGATGGAGCACTCGGAGCACTTAGCTACTTGAGCCAAAATGGCTACGGCGTCTACGGCATGACATGCTGTGCGATGTTGTGTTCTGTGCCGCTGTGCGATGCCATTATTTGCGTAGCAATGCTTTGTGATGCCATTCTTCACTACGCAACGCCACGCCATGCTATGGCATGCTAGGTTCTGCAGTGCTCTCCTGCGCCATGTGATGCCGTGCTGGCAAGGGATGGGAGGGAGGGGCAGGACGTCAGATGTGACGCGAGCGCACCTAGCTTGCCCTACCCCCTTCTGCGCGTGACTGGTTCTCCTTCTCGCTCCCCCCCCTCCGGTTAATGGACAAAATCCTGCACCACCTGCGCAACGGGGGCGACGGCGCAAACTTCCACGCGCCCCCCCTGCCCCCGACTCAATGTTGATTGGCTGCGCCCGCGGGGTGCAGGATTTAGGCCAGTCGGCGGATCGACAAACCGCGCCACAGCCTGCCAATGTTAACATGGGGGCGCGGGGGGCAAAAACAAAAATGGAAAAAAGTACAGGATTCCGTCCCTCCACCGCCGCTCGCCGCCGCAGGATGGGGGAAGCGCGCAGGGCACGCGGCGGGGGCGCAGGCGGCCGGCCGCCGGCCTCCCCGAGCACGCGCCCGGCCTCGCTTGGCGCCGCCGGCGCGGCGGGCCGCAGCTCGACGACGAGGGGCGTCGGCCGGCCCCCGCCGCGGGGCGGCGCCGCGGCGGGCGCCTCGGGCGGCGGCGCGCGGGGCCCACGACGACGACGAGGACGACGACGACGACGACGAGGACGACGGAGAGGACGACGACGACGACGACGACGACGACGACGACGACGACGACGACGACGACGAGGACGACGACGACGACGACGACGACGACGACGACGACGACGACGACGACGACGACGACGACGACGACTCGACGACGACGACGACGAGGACGAGGACGACGAGGACGAGGACGAGGAGGACGAGGACGAGGGCGACGATTCAACGACGAAGACGACGACGAGGACGAGGGCGAGGATTCGACGACGACGACGACGAGGACGAGGACGAGGGCGAGGGCGAGGATTCGACGACGACGACGACGACGAGGACGAGGGCGAGCATTTGACGACGACGACGACGATCGAGCGCGGTGGATCGAGCGTCGGGGATCGAGGTTTTGGATGCTGGTCCCATTTGGGGCCTCGGAAGCCTCCCGAAGCCTTTAGGGTCCTGTGGAATGACCCCGGGGGACCTCCCGAAGCGATCGAGGCTCGAGGATCTAATTTTCCATGCTTCTGACATCCAGGAGGCCGCCCTGGCCAACACTGCGAAGCGGCGATGTATCCATATCCGCCGCCCGTGGAACTGACGTCCTGGGACCCCAGCGGGCGGTGGATAGGGATATTTGGGGCACCAGGGGGCCTAAATATATCCATATCTACCGCCTGTCGAGGTCTCCGAAAATCGGTCCTCCAGGCGGTGGCTATTCCCCAATCAATGCTTGCACTGAAGGGGTCCTAGCAGATATGTAAAAATTGGGCGAAAGTTCCAAGCCAATTTCGGTGGGCGGCCGGGCTCCCGGGTTCCCGGTTCCGGGTTCCGGGCCAATTTCGGTGGGCGGCAGGGTTCCTGGGTTCCCAGGTTCCTGGTCGATCTTGTTATCGACCGGTCTCACCATCGATCTCATTACCCACCTCACCATCGATCTCACTATCGATCTCACAGTCGATCTCATTATCGATCTCACAAAAGATCTCAGTATCTCAGTATAGATCGCACGAGCGATCTCACGAGCGATCTCACTATCGATCTCATTGAATCGACTTCACTATCGGTCTCACGATCGGCCTTACAATCGTCCTCAATTCCACTATCGATCTCACAATCGATCCCAATATCCATATCACTAATTTTCTTACATGCCCTCTACTGATTGGGGTTTTCTTCCCCGCCTCGGAAACACACAGCCACGCACAAACTCACACACTCACTCATAAACTCACTCACAGACAGACAGACAGACAGACAGACAGACAGACAGACAGACAGGCAGGCAGGCAGGCAGGCAGGCAGGCAGGCAGACAGACAAACAGACAGACGCACACACACACACAAACACACACACACACACAAACACACACACAGAGACACACACACACACACGCACACGCAAACACACAGACACACCCACACGCACACGCACACGCACACGCACACGCACACCCACACCAACGCACGCACACACACACAAACACAAACACAAACACCCACACACACACTCACACACACACACCAGGAGAGATCTGAGGGCCGATGTTTGAGGGAAGAGGGCCCAAACTTGTTCGATCTCGGCGTTTTCCGTCGTTTTGGCGTCCTCTGGGCCGCTTCAGGCCCAGGGATCGCCAGAAATCGACCATAGATGCAAAAGCGACCTGACCCCCCCCCCTTCCACGTAGAACCACCCCTCCCTGGGAGAAGCTCTTGCCTCCAGAGCGTCAGCGAAGTCGTCGTCGTCGTCGTCGTCGTCGTCGTCGTCGTCGTCGTCGTCGTCGTCGTCGTCGTCGTCAACGCCGTCGTCCTCACTCCCCCCAAGGAGGAAAACGAAACCGAAAAATGATCAGACGCGACGCCGCCCGGCGCCTCACGCGGGACCGGGGACGCCCGGATAGGGGCCGCGCCGGGGTTGCCAAGCACGCCCCGCGAACGTGACCCCAGCAGCGCCCGGGCCCACTGGGGCAGGGAGTGTGGGCTGTTTTGCTTTGTGCTTCGCGCGGAGCGCGGTGTGCGACGTCCACGGTGGTTCGGTGTGCGGACAGTATAACGACGTGTGGCACCCGCAGATGCAAACACTGCGGCCCCGAAGGCATATGAGCAAGCAACGTGCTTCTCGGGGCGTGAGCATGGCTGGGCCCAGGTGAGACCGCTGCAATGCTGGCACTCCGCTCACCCAGCGCAGGTCCTCTCTGCGACTTTTCTCCTGACGCGACCTCCAGGGAGGTCTGGACCCATTCCCCGGGACCGGCTTTTCATCCTGAGTCGTTTCTTTTGACGGTCCCGAGGCCCCGCGAGGGCCCCGAAAAACTATCCGCCGTGTTTCTTTCATGGCTCGAGGGGGTCTGGGGGTGGCCTGCTTCGCAGCACTCCTTGCAGGAGCGCCGAACCGCCCCGCGCCCTCTCGGGCCACAGCTCCGGCAGATCGCGCGCAGGACCTCCACCACCGCCCGACCGACGGTGGGCCTCCTCGTCGACACCTTGAACCCTGCGGAGGTCGGAGAGGGGTGTGGCATAAAAGGATGTGATGCCAATCGTGGAAATGGCGATGCTATCTACGATAGATAACCTCGCCAGATCCAGCATTGGCACCACACCCCTTTACACCACACCCCTTTCCTGTACCCCCAGAAACTTAGACGTCGATGCAGGCCCAGAGGCGCGCCAGGGAGGCGTGCGTGGCCAGCCTCTCCGGCTCCGCGGGGAGCGGCTTGGCCAGCGGCTTCTTGGTCGCTCTCTTGGGCACGAATCATATCATAAGGAGGGGCGACAGGGGGGTGGGGAAAAGAGGTGCCCTCTTCGGGCCCTCGCGGCCCCCTCTTGGGCCCCAAAGGGCCCCTCCAGGGGCCCCGAGAGGCTTTTTTTTCCAGCAGCCCTCGCCCCGCCCCCGAGAGGGGGGGCGAGGGACCCAGACCCCCGACGTCGTGATTTTTTCAAAACGTCGACCCCCAGAAGTCTGGACCCCTTCCCCGGGATCGGTTTCTCGTCCTGAGTCGTGCCGTTTTTGGACAACCCCGAGGCCCGATAAGGGCCCCCGGAGGCCGAAAATAGCGAAGCACCTCCCGTCGTGATCTTTTCACAACGCGAAGAGGTCTGGACCCCTCCCCGCTTGCCGCCTCCCCGGCGCCGGCGCCGGGCCTCTGCGATCGGGCCGCCCTCCCCCTCCCCTCTCTCCCCTCCCCTCCCCTCCCTCCCCCTCCCCCTCCCCTCCCTCCCCCTCCCCCTCCCCCCCATCCCCTCCCTCCCCCTCCCCTCTCCCCTCCCCCCCGGAGGAGGAGGCCAGCCTCCAGCGACAGGGCCACGCTGCAGCGCTGCCTAGGGCCCGCCTGGCTCTCGCACGCAGGAGCAGGGCAGTGGAGGGCGGGGAGGGCGCACATGAGAGGAGAAAGGGGCGGTAAGGGGGCACAAGGATGGAACCCTGGACACCACGCTCCCCCCCCCCCAAAAAAAAATTCAAAGTTGGCCTCGAGCATTCGGCAGCACAGGCGTGAGAGGACAAAAAAGTGGACCCCCCAGGGCCTCCAGGAGGCCGAAGCCAACTTTGAAATTGGGGGGAGGGGGCAGGGCGAACGCGGGGTTGAAGACGAATTGGGTTCCACTTTTTTGTCCCCTTACCGGAGGAGTGTGACGGATGTCGGCGGCAAGCGAGTTTAGGACTTGGGGTTTACACTACGTACTAGGATTTGGGGGCCCTGCAACGCTCTGCTCGGCTCCCGAAATCGATTTCCCCGCGCAAGAAACGGCGGATTCGCTCGCGCAGACCCTCAACGCGTTGTGTTTTCATCTCGAGGGTTTACGGTTTAGGGTTTAGGGTCCACTAGCCTCTAATCGAAGCCCGCTGGACGTATCACACCCACCCATGACCCATGACATACAGAACTCAACGCGTTGAGGACGTCAGTGCGATGCATCATGCGCAATACTTGCGCAGCGCCTCAACCCGATGCAGCGGCGATGCGGCACGGGATCGAAGCGACCTGCGGGTAGCTCCCCACAGCAGGTTGCCGACGCATTGGCGATGTGCTGCGCAGCTTCGCGCGTTGCCGGGGGGCTACGAGAGACTCCCCACCCACCCCTCTTGGCGTCTGGGCGGGCTGCTCGCGCCACCCTGGCGGAGCGCTGCTCCCTGGCTCACGCCGCCATGACTCGCAAGCGCTCGGCGGCTTTCGGGGCAGCCGGCTCTGCTGGTGGCGCGGCAGAGGCGGCGGCCGAGCGAGGGCGGGCCCCGCGTCGGGTGCAAAGGATTCGGGCCGCATGCATGGGAAGCTGCACTATTTCCTAAGGGTCCCGGCCGCATGGGCACCAAACCGTATTTTTTGCAAGGGAAAGCGAGGGGCGCCGAAGGGGCGGCATAAGGGGAGTCCGTAAGGGATCTCAGGGCTTAAACCTTTATAGGCTCTTAATTCTCAGGGCTTCTCGGGCCGCAGCGGCCGACGGTCCCAAGTCAATGGCCCCCCCCTTTCGGCGGGCTTGGTGGGGGGGGGGGGGGGGCGTCTCGCCGACCCGATCAAGCAGGCCGAAGCCGTAAGATTTGCAACAACTTCCTTCCCTGGGCCGAACTGCCGGCGACCTCCCAAACTAAAACCTGTAGGGTTTAGGAGAGCCCCTAAGCTCCCACAGCCTGAACGTTGCCGATGACGCAGCGGGAGCGCAGTGACGCCCGCACGCTCGCAGGCACTGCGGCACGCATGGGGCACGTAGACCCACATGCTCGCAGCAAGCGAGTAGACACGCGGGCACGCAGAACACGCGCCGCTACAGATGCGCGGAAGGAGGATGAGGAGGAGGAGGAGGAGGAGGAGGAGGAGGAGGAGGAGGAGGATGAGAAGGAGGAGGAGGAGGAGGAGGAGGAGGAGGAGGAGGACACGTAGGCGCGCAGAGAGCGCGCCAGCACATCAACACACACACACACACACACACACACACACGCACACACACGCACACACGCACAGAAGACAAAGACACGCAGACACGCAGCCACGGTGAGGACACGCAGGCACGCAGGAGGCACGCGGGTGCAGAGCGGGAGGCGCCCAGGCTCACGCAGGACACTCGCGGGCGCTCCCGCGTGCTTCCAGGCGCTCCCGGGCGCCAGCGGATGCCCCAGGCGCTTCCCAACCTTGCCAGGCGCTCCCAGGGCTCCGGGACGCTCCCGGGACGCTCCCAGGCGCTCTATAGAGCACCCCGAGGCGCTTGCACGGCGCTCCCGGCGCTCCCAGGCGCTCGTAAGCGCTTCCAAGGCGCTCCCGGCGCTCCCAGGCGCTCGCTTCAGCGCTTGCAAGGCGCTCCAGGGCGTCCCAGGCGCTCCCCGGCGCTTCCCAGGCGCCCACCGGCGCCCCCGGGCGCTCGCAAGCGCTGCGGGGCGTTCCCAGGCGCTCCCCGGAGCTTCCCAGGCGCTCCCAGGCGCTCCCAAGCGCTGCCGGGCGCTCCCAGGCATTTCCAAGCGCTTTCCAAGCAGCGCCGGCCTTCTGGGAACACGCAATATGGCAAATTCGCGCCTTCAACGCTACAGCCTGCTCCGGATCGCTTCCAGGAGCTGTTTTAACCGAGCCCAGGAGTGCCCAGCGCGCCTCATGCGTGCTTTTGCATGTCGAAGGCATTCCTAAAGACCCTCAAAGGCGAAACGTTGCTGCGTTTAGGGTGTTGAACTCTTCGAGGATCAGTGGATAGCTTATCGTTGAAACGCGGGCAGCCCTAGGCTGCATGGGCGACCCACTCTGGCTACCTGCTGGAGCATCTCAGAGAGACTCTGTCCTTCGCAGACGTCCTCAAGAATATGCGGTGGGTGGGCAGATGCACAACGAGGTGCTGGGGAAATTAAGGTTTAGGGTTTAGGGTTGCGCGCTCGCCAGTGGAGTCGAACAAAATGACCCCAGGGATCCTGTAAGCGAGGAAAGGAAAGGAAAGGAGGGAGGAGGACAACAAAAGAGACACCAGGAAGAGGAAGAGAGGGAGAAGGAAACGGGGCAAATTAACATAATTCAACTAAAGAAGGCGATGAATTGGTGCTGCGGGATATATACTCGCAGGGTCAGGCGAGAACGAGGAGAAAGAGGCATTGAGGAAAAGGCAACAAGGAGTTATCGTTCAATTGTCTGTTTGACCTCCCTGCCCTTCCGCCTGCATGCCAAACTGCAGGGACCAAGGTGCATGGCGCGAAGCGCCAATGCAGTCTTGTATATATATATATATAGCTTTCAGGACTGCGCTGGCGCTTCGCAGCCTTGGTCCTGCACCTTGGTCCTTAAAGTTTGGCATGCAGGAAGGTGCAACAACAACTTTAGCACGAACTCCTTGGCGCCATGTCCGACATCGCCGTTATAAACATATGTTTCATTATCCTTCATACATGTTTACTCTTCCTTTTCCGCATCCTCGCCCTACCCTGCGAATTCTTCCCCATCCTCCTCAGCTCTCTTTGCGGAGGCTCCTCCTTGGAGCCCCTTGAGGGCCTCACGAATGATGTTTATGGACTTCATGGGGCCTTCTGGGGCCTCCTGGGCGCCTCCTGGGGGCCTCTCGGGGCTTACTCTGGCCACCCTGCCTCCAACCGCGGTCTCCCTGCACGACTGGGCTGCACACTCTGGGAGTGCTTCGGGTGGGCGCCTTGGGACCAGCTTGGGCCGTCATGGGGCTCCCTTCGGGCCGTGCTGGGGCCCTGCTGTCGTGCAGCCTCGGGGCTCTCTTGGACTGCATGGAAGCCCTCTCCGGTAATTTTGGGACGATTTTCGGGCCTCCTGGGCGGCCTCGGACGCCCAGAAGACATATGAAAAGAGCATTCTCTCAAAATCATCAAACAAACCGTGGGAAATTAGTTTGTTTTTCGCGTTTCGACTCTTCTGCGATCACAGCGTCCACGATAGCCCAAGAAGCCTCTTGGGTCGCGCCAAGACGGCCCAAGAAGGCTCCCGAGAGGGCTCTCAGACGACCCAGGAGGGCTCCAAGACCGCTCAAAAAGACCCCACAACGGCCCAGGAGGGCCCTGTGACAGCCCCATGAAGGCGTCCAGAGGGAGAACCCAGACGGACAGTTCGAGCCTTCTACCCCGAACCGCCGCCCGGTTGTCTCCCAGGAAGCTCCGCGAGGCCCCGCAGAAGCCCCCAAGAGGCCCCCAGGAAGCCCACCAAGAAGTTCCAAACCTGCTTCCCGAACGCCCCCGAGACGCCTCCTACGAGGCCCAGCCAACCATCCGCGTGACCTCCAGCCCGCAGCCCAGGCGCGGTGGCGGGATGTGCCGAAGGCCATTCGATCCGCCGCCCCCTGTCGATTCATCGCAGGGGTGCCTGGCGTGCTGAACCTTTCGGTTTTGATTTTGGTTCTTTTTCCAAAAGAACTCCCTCTGGGGCTCCGGCACGTCCCGCCGGCCACCCGGAAACTGCATCAGTCAATGCCTGAAACGGCCGTTTCGCTCGGGGCATCCTCAACAAATCGCGAAGATGGCCCAAGATGGCCTCCAAGTCCGCCTCAGATGGTCCAAGACGGCCTCCAAGACGGCCCAAGAGAGTCCAAGACGGCCCAAGACGGCCCAAGAGGCCCCCCAGAGGCCTCCAAGACGGCCCAAGAGGCCTCCAAGAGGTCCTGCAGGAGGGCCCGAAGAGGCCAAAATCATTGATTGTTCTAAGGTTTTTGAAGGATTTTGGCATTTGCCTCTTGTCGGCATTCCAACGGCTCAAGACGGCCCAAGAAGCCCCCAAGACCGCCGAAGAGGCCCCCCTCCAAGACGGCCCCAAGAGGGCTCCAAGACGGCCCAAGAGGCCTCCAACTCGCCCAAGATGGCCTCCAAGACGCCCAAGATGGCCTCCAAGACGGCCCCGAAGCGCCCCAAGAGGGCCCCCAGTCGGCCCAGAAAGGCCCCCAAGACGGCTCCCGACGGCGTCAGACGTGCCAGGAACCCACCAAGATGGCCGAAGTTGGCTCGAAGCTGGCCCAAGACGGCCCAAGAGGCCCCCAAGAGGGCCTCCAGGCAGGCCAGAAGAGGCCAAAAACCTGGATGATCCTAAGGTTTTTGACGGATTTTGACATTTCCTTCTTTTCTGCCTTCCGACGGCCCGAGACGGCCCAAGAGCCCCCAAAGATAGCCCAAGAGGCCTCCAAGATGGCCCCAGAACGGCCCAAAAGGGCCCCAAGACGGCCCTAAGAGGCCCCCAAGACAGCGCAGGAGGCCTTTAAGACGCCCAAGATGGCCTCCAAGACGGCCCTGGAGCATTCCAAGAGGGACCCCAGTCGGCCCATAGAGGCCCCCAAAACGGCTTCCGACGGCGTCAGACGGACCAGTAGCCCACCAAGACGGCCGAACATGGCCCTAAGATGGCCCAAGACGGCCCAAGAGGTCTCCAAGAGGGCCTCCAGGAAGGCCCGAAAAGGCCAAAATCGTTGATGTCTCATGGGTTTTTGAAGGATTGTGGCATTTGCTTTTTTTCTGCCTTCCGACGGCCCGAGACGGCCCAAGTGCCCCCAAGACACCTTCCCCAGAGGCCCCCAAGACGGCCCAAGAGGTTTCCAAGACGCTCAAGATGGCCTCCAAGATGGTCCAAGAGCCCTCCAAGACGTCCTCCAAGAAGGCCCGAAAGGGTCAAAATGGCCTCCAGACGGCCAAGATGACCTTCAAGATGCCCACGTGTTCCCCGAAGGCTTTCCAAACCGATTCGGGGAACACATGGTCCGATAGCTTGGCAGGTCTGGCCTCAACGTTCGGCCACATAGGCGCTTCCAAAAAGGCAGGGGGCGGCGGTGATTCGCCGTAGGCGTCTTCGATAACCCTTCTTCTGGAATATAATATGATGCCCGCCTTACAGTCAACCCGTTACAGGATGTGCGGGAAGGATTCAAGGGCCTTGGAAGGCCATGTCGAAACTTTCGAGCAGGGCGCGGTCAACGAAAGTGGCGAAGGATGGGCCGAGGAGGCAAGGATGCAAGGGTACCCTTGGGAAAACTGCCAGTCCTCACTATGCGGGCTGACTGTAATCATTATGCTGGATTGTACGCAGATGCCCGCCGTTAGTACACGTGCGTCCTCGCCGTTCCGCTGTGCGTGCACGGCGGACACTGAAAATGCCAGCCGCAGAACAAATAGCCCGGCGAAAAACCCAACCATATGCAACTGAGAATACTGCGAATGTGAATAGTGTCCTCGGTGGTGTTCCCTGGGAGGGCCGCGAGCCGCGTGAAACACTGTGCTGGGTGGGAGAGACGCACGTGGACACCGCCACTGGGGCCCTCGGTGTAGCTCCTTATGGGGCCACAAAACGCTGTGCTGGGCGTGGGAAACGCATGCGGCCACCCCCAGCTGGGGCCTTCGGTGGAGCTCCCTATGGGGCCACGAAACGCTGTCCTGAGCGTGGGAAACGCATGCGGCCACCCCCACTGGGGCCTTCGGTGGAGCTCCCTATGAGGCCACGAAACGCTGCCCTGAGTGTGGGAGTCGCATGCGGCCACCCCCACTGGGGCTTTCGGTGGAGCTCCTTGTGGGGCCACGAAACAATATCCTGGGCGTGGGCGACGCATGCGGCCACCCGCACTATGGCCTTCGGTGGAGCTCCCTATGGGGCCAGGAAGCGCTGTCCTGAGCGTGGGAAACGCATGCGGCCACCCCCACTGGGGCCTTCGGTGGAGCTCCCTATGAGGCCACGAAGCGCTGCCCTGAGTGTGGGAGTCGCATGCGGCCACCCCCACTGGGGCTTTCGGTGGAGCTCCTTGTGGGGCCACGAAGCGCTGTCCTGGGCGTGGGAGACGCATGCGGCCACCCCCACTGGGGCCTTAGGTGGAGCGGGGCCACGAAACGCTGCCCTGGGCGTGAGCGACGCATGCGGCAACCCCATTAGGGCCTTCGGTGGAGCTCCCTAAGGGGCCACGGTCGCGAAGGAGGAGGGGGGGGAGGAGGAGGAGGAGAGGAGACGCGCGGCACCGTCTCTTCAAAACGAAGACCCAACACCACAAGATGGTTGGGAAAAACTGCTGCCGATGCTGACTGTGCCGCGATTGCCGTGGGCCCTGGGCCCCAGATGCCGCAAGGCGGTCCAAGAGAGCCCCCAGTCGCCTAAAGCTCTCCCAGGACTGTCAATTAGCCTACAGACGGCCCAAGGCGCCCCTTCAACGCCCCCAAGAGGCCTCCAAGAGCCCTCCCAAGAGGGCCCCACGACGCAACATTCTTTGATTTTCAATCAGCTGGCCGCTAACCTGCCAGTGTACCAGCACCTCGTGAATAGTGCTGAGGTCAGTGCCTGTCCAATGGCAGACTTTACATTGTGACGAGTTCCTTTTGCCAGTTCAATTGCAGAAGCTACAGGCTGCGATTTCAACCTTGAGGGGCGTATCAGCTGCTGTATCGACTGATGATGCAATATCAAGTGCGACTGGCTCCTCAGCGTAATTAGCAACACTGGTTTTCCAAAAAGCGTGAGCAGACTTCCTGAGCAATCGTGTGGACATGATGACGGATACCAGGCAGGGCCAAACGCACGCTAACATTTGTGCATATTCCAAGGCCATCTTCCAAGGCTCATAACACAGACAGGCGCAAGTTCAAACCACGTCGAGCCAGTCCTAGATGCACAAGGCAATCTCCATTCAAAATTAAGCTGAACTGCGCTTGACAGCGAAATTATGCACATACACTGGTCTTAACGCTGGAAGTCTGCACAGCTTCGAAACCAAGCTCGGCCCCAAGCTCCATTCAGCAAGCTCTTGGAATGAAACAGGATGAATCGCCACATAATTCGAAAGGTATGCGTAGTGCTGGCTTCTGCGCTTGATCCCACATCGTTGTTGGCACCTCCAAATGATGTGCCGGATGGGTGGAGGAGTGGGAGGAGGAAAGAAGGGGAAGAAGAGGCAGTTACAAAATCGTAGACCTTTTTTTTACTCGTTGGTCTGTCCGCGCCCTACCTCAACCTCCCAAAGTGGCCACCGACAACGATGCTTCGCCAAATTTGCTGCCGTCTTGCCGCAGCACCAGCACCTGGTGGTAGAGGGATCGCAAAGAACAGCTGTGTAGAAGCGATGAAGATGAGCTGGCGGGACAGAACATGCAGATCCACCTTCTCCTCCTCCCGCCTCTTCCTTCCTTCTCCTCGTCCTCCTCCTCATCATCATCCTCCTCCTACTGCACCGAAGGCCATCGCAGGATGAGGGGAGGACGACGAGGAGACTGCCGGACCGAGTTCTGACCTGGCCTCACGTCGCTGACAACCTGCACGCGCACATGCGTACGAGGATGCTCCGTGTATGGCCCATGGTGCGCCGTACATCTAGCCTGCCTGTTGGGAGTCGGCGAACCTCCCGAAAGCGCATGCGATTGCACGTAAGCGAATGAGCTGCGCACGCCTTATACTGCACCACAAGCCTACCTGCTGCTGTGCTGGCAGCGACTTGCTGGCGAATGGAACTGCGACCCTTGAGCTTGCTCGTGAACGCTGATCCCTGGAACACTTGCGAACTGCATGTATACAAATCTGTGTATAACGCATGTGCATACTTTATGTACCTAGATTCCCCTTCATATATTTTCATTACTCGGGCGCCCCCCTCCCCGAAATCGGACCCCCCGAATCCCAGGCCCACGGGACCCTCTGGACTCCTGGAAGCCCTTGCTGGGCCTAGGCAACGGGCCCAAATCGGTCAGGAGGGCGGCCGAACGCCCCCCGAGGGCCCCAAGAGGCTCCAGACACCCACCAGACGCCCGAAGACGACCCAAAGAAGACCCCCAAGAGGCTTTCAACACGCAGAAAGATATTGATTTCCCAAAAAATTGTTTGGATGATTTTGGGAATGCCCTGTTCTTCCGTCTTCTGGGCGTCCGAGACCGCCTGGGAGGCTCCCAAATGGCCCCAGAACCATCCGAAAGGGCTTCCAGGCAGCCCAAGGGAGTCCCACGACGGCACAAGAGGGTTCCAAGATGGCCGAAGTGAGCCCCATGACGGCCCAAAATAGCCCCAAGATGCCCTCCGAAGCAGTCCAAATCTTGACCCGGTCGTTCAGGGAGACCGCGGTTGGAGGCAGGGTGGCCCGAGGAAGCCCCCAGAGGCCCCCAGAAGACGCCCAGGAAGCCCCCAGAAGGCTGTGAGAAAGCCTGAGAACTTCCGTGAGGCCCCCAGAGGCTCTCCAAGGAGGAGCCTCCGCAAAAAGAGCTGAGGAGGATGGGGAAGAATGCGCAGGGTAGGGCGGGAATGAGGAAAAAGAAGCATGGAGGAAGGATAACGAATAATAGTGTTATAACGGCGACGCCGGAAAAGACAACAAGAAATTATCGCTATATTGTCTGTTTGACCTTCCTGCCTTTCCGCCTGCATGCCAAGCTTCAAGGACAAAGACTGCCTGGCGCGAAGCGCCAATGCAGTCTTGTATACATTCCTATTCCTATATTTTTCCCAATCATCCTGTGGTGTTGGGTCCTCGTTTTGAAAAGACAGCACCCCGCGTTCCTCTCCTCCTCCTCCCCCTCCTCCTCCCCCGCCTCCCTCCTCCCATCTGAGGTCCTTGTCAACCAATGTTTGTCAAGACTTTGCGCGTTGACTCGTCGTTCTTCCGACCATGCCATCATCATCTGTTTCATCATTACATACCATAACCACACCATATCATGCAGTCTCATATCATCCCAAAGTAATGGTCCACATCATTCCATATCACCACGTGCTCTTATCGTAAGACTGCCGTACATCATAGCACGGTCACGTCAAAACATCATAAGCGAACATACATTGTCACCATAAAACAAACACACTCACAACTGTATGTTGCACGATCGTGTTCCACCGCCGTTTTGGAGCTCAAGCGTTTCGAGCTTCCGTGGGGCCCGTCTGTGATTGCACCGCTTTCCCGCGTCCCAGACACATGCCGCACGCGAAGAAGACGGCTGATCATTTCAAACTGAAACTTAAGCAGGCGAATCAAGAGAAGTCCAAGCAGGCGAAGACGATCGCATCCCTTCGCTCTCGTCTCCTGACCCAGAACGTCCGTGTGGGGTACCAGAAGCTGTGCCGCCGCCTCGACAAACAGAAGTTTCAGCAGCGTGTGAAGGAGCTGAAGCGGGAGAAGGCTGCCTTCAAGAAGGCAATGTTGAAGGCGGAGGAGGACCTTCGCAAGGTCATGCCTATGCCTATGCCACAGCTCGTTCATATTCAGCCTCCTGTGAACTTTGTAGTTGTGGCAATCGGATAGTGACTCTGACTAGGTGTGGACCAGTACTTAGCCGCTTGCCGATAGGAAGCGGGCTTCCCGAAGCTTCCCTTAGCCACCAGTCGTGCAACCATATGTTGATTAGGTTATGTCTTGGGGATGGGGAGGGGGACAAGAGGCAGGAGGCAAGATGAGATTCCAGAGACGGCTGCATCGAGATTTTTTCCGTGGCTCCTGGTTCGCGGGTGTCGCCTATGCGGGAGTGGGGCTGCCCTGTATTGCACAGCAGTTCGCTGTGCTTGTTCAGACCAGGATGTTTCGAGTAGGGTAGGAGCTTTGATCGAAAAGAACTTATCTCCATTCGTTGTCGCTGCACGGGGTGGGGGGTGAGAGAGAAGTGGCGTCCAGGACCTGGGAGTCAGCCAAACACGAGTATTCAGACACCGTCGGGTTTTCAATGCACCGACCGTCAGCACCGACACCAGCCGTAGCCATTTGGGCTCAAACATTTCCAGCATGTCAAAGCCAACGCCGGCTGTATTTCGACAGATTTCCAGATTCGTTGCCGATCGCTCAGAGGATGGCCATATAAAGTGTTCTGATTTTGCCCAATTTGCTCGCAAGCTTTTGGGGGAGGACGTTGCAGACAATGGAATAACACAAGCCACTATACGGGCTCGCTTGAAATGCTTCGAAGATCATTCAACCTTGACGCTGCCCATGACATACTTTGGAGCTGCCCTTCAAAAAATATGTTCGCTGACACTTTCGCATGACCAAGACAGCGCAATTATTGGACTCGCATCGTCGTTGAGCTCGGGGGGGTCTCGCATGAGTACCCTTGCTGCGATATCTTGTGGAAGTCACGTTGATCTGCGGGAGGCCGCCGCTGAGCTGCCTGAATTCCAAGACCAGTCTATTCCACGAGTGGAGCTGGCACATGAAATTGTCGTCAGAGACAAGATGCTCAAAGATGTGAAGGAGGACAGGGGCAGGCTTGTGAGGAGATGCCGCACACTACAACACGAAAACAACCAGTTGGTGAAAGTTCGGGAAGATAACGAAAAAGAGATCGCACGTCTGAAGAACTTGTTGAACTTCAGGCATAAAAGAAAAAACGTTTCTCTATTTGGTGGGTACACTCTCGCTCTGAAAAGAAACACGGTCGGCCATGCTTCGTGCGCTTTGATGATAGCAGCCCTCGCTGCCGATGAAGAGAGAGGAGGTTTGAAAGACGAAGGCATAGTTGTTCGCTTCGAGCACTTGGCTGCCGCAGTGCAGCGAATGATCACGCGGTCGTTCTATCAAGAACAGCTCGCGCTGACAGGCGACCCTGGTTCGTCCCGAATCGAGGTCCACGGATACATGGGCGACGCAACCAACGAGGAGGCGGCGCAGAAGAGCAAAATCCACGTTGGCTTTGTGTGGTCGTCAATTGCACAAGCTGATTTCAATTGTTGCGGGCCAGAAACTGATGTTGGCAGTGTTACAGAAGTATCGAGAGCTTGCGCTGATTTGCAAATTGTGACGACTGGGAAGGACGAAGAGACCGAGCGAATCATGGAGAAACAGGTTCGCTTGACAGGATGCCCGTCTTGGCGAAGTAGTCCCCCTGATGCTGCTCGCGGGTTTCGGGTGTTTGTCATGATGCTGGACAGTGCTGGCGACAACGTGAGGGCATTGCGCATAATTCTGAATTGTCTCGTTGGCGTGGCAAATGTTGCAATCATATCGCAGTTTTGTTTCCTCCACCAGTTTTCATTGATCATGCTGGCGATGTATACCATCCTTGATGATTTTCAAATTTGCGGCGAACCCGATCCAGCAAAGTATGTGTCTAGAGTTGCTTCGGTCGCTAACACGTGGCGAATGCCAGGGTCTGCCTCGCAGATTTGGGACGTCTGCGCTGACCTTCACGGGGAGGATGTCGCAGTTCAAGTTTGCAGGAGAACCCCTGGTAGGGCAATTAAGACCCGATGGGGGTCATTGGGTTCAATTGAGCATATAATTTCGAAAGGGCGATCTGTGTTGGCCTCAGTGTTTGACGCAGTGTTTGGGCCAAAACTGGAAAAGAAGAAAGGATCGAAAGGTAAAGGTCCCCTGGCAGATGAGACCGAACAAAACCGAAGCAATTGCAGATAGTTCAGGCTCCTGGCAACGAAGGCCCTCGCAGACAGCAAATTTATCGTAAAAGTGCTGGTTTCATGCATTGCTCTCGGACCACTTCGACATTTCCACCTATGGGTTCAAAATGAGACAAAGGAGTTCAACAAACGTGTTGATGAAGCCGCTGATGGCGACAAAACATACCTCGGCCCGACTGTGATGTCGAAGCTGGTCAGTTCTCAAGAGGGCACACTCAGGGGCGACTTCAGCAAGCTCCTGGCCGACGGCAGCGTCGAGTGGGCATCCTTGTGGCCATCGGTTCCACAGGAATACGTCAGCGATGCCAGAGCCCTTGCAATCACGCTCATTGTTGCCAGCACCTGCCAATGGGATATGAGGATTCGGAGTCGCGTGCATGATTTCCCAGCTGTGTTATTACTATGCGTGGAAGAAGGCCCGCGAGTTGTGTGTGATCGGAGGAAGGGCGTTGCACAGTTGCTTATTCAACGAGCTGAGGGAGGGCCCGATGCATTGTTGCAGCCACTCAGCGACTTTACGCTGAAACTCTTCAACAAATACTCCGCCATGTTCCGCGTTATGGCCGACACGGGTTGCTGCGCGCAGGAGTTGCACTCAGTTCTTTTACTGGTCCGATCACAGTGGCGCCCAGATACGCAGAAGGTCGAGGTTCGGGCGGATGCTATAACACGAGTCCCTGGAAACTTGAGGATTGTA